TTCGAGCAAGGGTGGGACCGGAAATCGTGCTCGACCGACACCAGGAAGTATAACCGGTAAATATATACGCGGATGGAGAGAGGCATGTGCCGATGGAATGCTTAATTTCACGGTTATTGACCGGCATCTTGCAAGCTGATCTACGCGACCTGCTCTATTGTCTGCTTAACATGCCATCGGACGAGCTTCGTTACGCGAAACAGAATCATTAATTATTATTCTGCATCTCCGTCCCGAAGCCGTGGAACAACCATTTCCTGGTGTCTATAAACGATTTCGAATGGCGCCGTGAAGAATCGCCGGGAATGTTATGCACGATACCAGTTCTTCAATATTCAAGATTTAATCACCGATTCGTGCACTCGCTATATCAAATTCTGTCACGTGTTAAACACCACGCTTCGTGTTACGTCGTTCCTTCAAATCTTCGTTATTTCATCGTATCTTAAGTAACAAAAGTGTTAAATATTTCAGAGGTACTGATTCACCGAAAGTGTTAAATTTGTTGAAATGTGTCCACGGTGTTAAAGTCATTAAAAGTGTTAAACATTTTAAGTGTCAAAGGTGTAAAATGTGCAAAAGTATCAAAGCGTCGAAGGTGTCAAAGTGTGAAAAAGTATCAAAGATATTAAAATGTGAAAAAGTATCAAAGTGTCAAAGGTGTTAAAATGTGGAAAAAGTATCAAAGTGTCAAAGGTGTTAAAGTATCCAAGGTCCAGCACACGTCAAACCTCGTCAACACCTCGAAATTCTACACCCACTCAGGGTGTTCAAAGTTACAAGGTATTGCACGTCGCGTTCGACAGGTGTTTATTTCACCGAACCCACCGTTTCCGAACCACGAATCGTCAAATAACACCTATTTCAACGTCAAGAGTACGTGTCTCCCATCGCCGGGCAATTGATCATTCCCCAGAAGCTGAACACCGACGTCGAAACGGAAGCGCGACAGGTCGCGTTGTAAAGCTGGAATACGAATCAGCGTTGGTGGCTTGTCAACACAGTTTGTTTTAACGACACCGGGGACAGCGTGTCACGACACTGTCTCGTCCGGATGCAACATGGTGCGGTTCCGCGGAGCCGGATGCACCGGTTCTTTCGTCGTGCCTGTACACAGTTTATCCTGCCTGCTACGTGGCCCCGGACCCGCCGAGAGAAAAATATAGTTTAACTGGAGTGTTCTATCCTTTCGACGGCTCGTATGGACGGGACGACGTGACAGTGTCAACAAATGAACGAAAACTTCCGGTACGAGCGAGCATGTTGAACAGAATTGTATCACCGCTGTACTGTTCCGTTACCTTTTAACAGTACACTCTCTCCGATTTGTATCAGGTCACCCCCGTGAGTTCGCGGCGAAGACGAAAAATATTTGAAAGAAAATCCAAGGAAATTCTATAGCGACGATAATAATAGAAAAAATAAGAAAACGTGGAATTAGAACAGGCTTGAGTGTTTTTTATCAGATTTAAAGGTCCGATCTACATAAATATCGATCTAAGAAAATCCAAGGAAATTGTTGCGGGTAAAAGTAATAATCTTACCGAAGGAAGTAAGAAAATGTGGAGTTAGAATACGCTCGAGTGTTTCTTATCAGATTTAAAGGTTCGTTGGAAATATCGATCTAAATTGACGTACCTTGAATTTATCACGATTTTTACGCTTGTTCGATCCTCAAGAGTTCTCCGAAGTTTCTCATAAATCTCGTATTAACAAGACCTACGGAGCACAATAAAACCAATGAACGAAAGAAGAGCTACAAGTTAATTCGTTCTTCGTACTCCCAGGCCTGGAAACAGAATCTTTTTTCCCCCGTCGTTCAGTTTCGCCGACGTCTGTGATCTCGAACGCGGATTCGACGATTCACGAGGCTCCGCTGCACGGATATCCACGCTTCATTTCCGGCTTTAATTGAAAGCAGAAGCAGAGGAGGGATCTCGAGGATTCTCCTCTTCTCGAATTCTCCTCTCTTCGAACTTGTTACTTATATTCCACCGAGCCTTCGATAATTCTATACTCTCCGTTGAAACAAAAGCCCTCTGCCCTATTTCCGAACAATTCTTCCTCTCCCTTTCAAACACACACACACACACTCAAGTACCTCGTGGAAATAAAAAACAAATTCTATAGAAAGCCTTGGAATTTTACCATCGTTAATTACCCAATTTATTTCCCGATATACGTACACAGAGCGTGCCCCGATATCGACTTTCACAGTTTCAACTTATACAACAATTCCAGCTACCGGATCGAAACAAAACAGTTGCGTCGATCAGCTTATATTCCACCGGTGTTATTTATAATTCGTGTTAGCACGTTGGCAGGAAGGTAGCGCTGGCTAATTAAGCAGCAACAAAGGGACACGTGAGACACGTGGACGACATAAGTTCTCGGAGCTGTGGCTCGATCACGTGGAACCGTCGCGATCGATGGATCACGTATGGCCGTAAATTTTACGTCCAAGTTTCGGCTGCCACGATCGGGCATCGCGACGGCGTAGCCGGTCAGAAAACGCTTGCTCGTTTCACGAATACTAAGAGTGGAGGGTTTCCGGGCCTTGATGCTCTTCCACACACACACAAACATACGTGTCTACCGTGGGAGATTATCTCTGCGAGCCGATCAAAGATCACCGGATATCCTTTAGGACCGCGATTCCTAATTGGAATTTCAAGGGGAACCTCTGAACGCTGGGAATCGCGTTTCTCGATTCGCCATCGGCGAAAATTCCAATTCGAGGACCTCCTCAGAGGTGTTTCTCGTGATTCGGGGGAATTACAACGGCTACCAGAGAGATTTAACAGAGATAGAAGGGTAGAAATATTTTTTTCCTAATTTTTAGTAACATTGCAAATTGGAGAAGGAATTTTTCTATTTTTCCAAGAAATTTGTTAAAAGTTTCGACGGC